GCAACGGTATTCCCGTAGCTTAAGTTGCGTATCTTACATCGACACCCCTCCAGTGTAGACCAAGCCTAATATTCTGCAATAAGGAACTACTTCATTTTCAGTCTTTTTGCCATCTACTTCCTGGCTTTTATTACAACAACTAATTCTCCCCTACCCCCATCTCTTCTCTTTGGAGTGAAGCTCCCCCTTTTGGGGTTTATTGTCTCTCTTCTTTCTACCAAGTTTTTAATTCTCTTTCCTTTCCTCTTTCTTTTTCATTTCTTGCTCTGAGTGGGTGCACAGTGCAGACATACCAACTGTCAATATGGATTATACACCCCAGATGCTGCTCCCATTTTTGAGCCAGCCTGGGCAGAGTTACAGTTTCAGGTAGAAACCATGAGATGCTCAGTGATTTTAAAGAGTTTCATTTCTATTCAGGTAGGTAATGAGAGGGACAGCTGCCATCACTATATTGTTGGGGCATCTCTCAGAGTGTAGTGGAGTCAAATCCCAAATGCAAAGCAAGACTCAAGAAGTGGATTCTCACACTTGACAATGCTGGGGAAAGGGTTTGCATGCACTTAGACAACTGCATTTCAGCAGGGCTCTAGCCTACGGGCATTTTCAGCATTAAAAATGACAACAATACATCTCTCTGTGTATTAAAAAATAACCTCTCAGTCTAGAGACTCATATTTCAGTCATTTATTTCAAAGTTTAGAGGGGTTATATTGCTTTGTCATAAACCTATACAACATCAGTCTGGCTGTGGAAAAGGATGCAAGGCTCACCGGATTGGCTGGCAAAGCATCCTGCAATACCAAGGCACAAAATACTCTCCTTAGGACATGCTGCCTGGGAAATCACAGGAGAAAACATTAAAAGTTCCAGTTATTTTAGTAGTTGTCTTAAAAATTGAAAAATAGAAGCTATCCCCATCTGATAGAATCTTTGAGAAGACAACTTCAATCAGGCGTCCCCCAAGTTTAACTGTGATTATGTTGTTTCATGAAACTTGGGAAGAATCCATATCTTTACAGCTCTGTATCAAGGGCCCATGTCCTTCTCATTAAAAGGGAGGACTCGCTTCCAGAGAACCATGGATCCTAGAACTTCCTATGCACCTCATTGCCTGCTGGAGCAAGACCAACAGAAGAGTGGAATAAAGGGGTGGGGTGCCATTTCTCATGGAAAACCAACATGGGCTCTTTCCCATGAATCTTGCCCATATGCACTCCCTTATGCCTGCTGGGTGACTAATAGTATAGCTATCTCTATTTCTATGCTTCCATTATTTAGCTTAAGAACAAACCCCACTTCTCATTGCCATGCCCCTTCCCTGGTGTTAAAGACACAGGCATGGATTTATAAATCATGCTGCCAAAAGGACAACATGCCAGAGTAGTTGTTCCCTCAGCTGCTCCACCCAGCCAGCTGCACACTGCTCAGGTGGCACGCTGCAGTCCCTATGGGGATATAGATGTAGTGGTGGAGAAGCAAGATTCTTTCCACTTTGTATGGAAGCCATGAGATAGATGCTCAACGGTTTTCAAAGAGTTTTGCTTCTATCCATCTGGGAAATAAAATGGCCTCTATCACTGAATTATCCAGGCATCTCTAGGAGAAACCCTCAGGCTGCAGGTTGCCAGCAATTTTGCTCATCAGATCACCATGTGAAGGGGGGAATCATATGCCCCTAGGTTTTGTACACTGCTATACTACACCACACACAATATTAACAAACATTAAGATAGCATGTGGTCTTTGATTAGAAGAACGTAAAGCTGTGACACAAGCATCTAGTAAGTATTGCTATTCCCTTTTTACAAAAGGGGAAAATGAAGCACAAGTTGGTTAAGTGACTTGCCCAGTATCACATGGGAAAATCAATGGCAGAGCTCAGAAGAGAAGCCAGAACACCTAGATGCTCAGTTCTTTGCTTTAATCACTCGAATGTGCTGTCCCTTCTACTATAATCATGTTCACTTGATACTGTACATGTCATGACAACAAACATTGAAGCCGCATGTGCAGATTAGCACAGATGTAAGAACGCGGATGTCTAGAAACAGAAGGATATGGGGAACATGATATGATTTCTTTCTGACACACTATTGTGCTTGGCCAACTTATGAAATTACAAATAAAACTGGCTGAGAATGGCCAGGGAGCATCTTGAACACCCTTGAAAGTAGATATATATATATATTTGGTCTTTATAGTGCTTGGAAGGGTATTCTAAAACCTTGAAAAACTAATCAAGTTAATCTTCTACTAGAAGGATCCATTTCATTGAGTTTTCAAAGTTGTATTAAGTTATTAAGATGCATTAAAAGATCATAAAAATGCACATAATTATTCCCACCCCCACAGTTATCTATTGCTTCTCTTAAAATCAGCCAGAGTCCAGTCACTGAGCCAGCTGTAACAGCCTATAATTTACACAGTGTAACAGAACAAACTTGGTAAGCATTACCTCCAAGATAGAGTAAAAAAGACACATTGTTATGTGCTTTTATCACTGTATGACCCAGGCAGACTTATGAAGTCCAGGGGTGGTGAGTGATTGCAGTAGAAACCAGGACAAAATATTCTGAAATGTACATATACATATAACTTCCCCTGAATTCGCCAGCACCAACCCCCAGTCAAATTTTGGAGAATTCTATGGCAGGGACAAGCAGGTCTGGCACTCTGTCGCATGCTCCCCACCCCTCCTCTCTCTTCTCTCAAGCTCTCTTTAATCACATTATTGTCTCTAAATAGACAGGAGTGATAACATCAGGAGGCCAGGCCCAGAGAGGTTGGCAGAACTGCTGGACCCTGGAACAAGACTCCAGGAAGGAGGAAATGAGGAGACTATTGCAGGGAGGGAGGGAGCTAACCACAACTTGACATAGTCATTTTCTAAATATTCATCAAATAATTTACATAAAAAAATAAAAGCCAGCATTATCTGGCAAAAAATTGTGAACATCAGTTGGTGAATATTAATCAACCAGCTCCAGTAGTAACAAGGTGGAGGAAACCTTGAAAGTTGAAATAATTCAGATAAGCATCTAAATGGAAGTCCAAACCTTTGGCGATTTATCCATTAGTCCTAGTGCCACATAAATGACATTTTCACATATAAGACCCAAACGTTCTTATCCCTAGCATGCCATTTTAACAAGCTTCCTCATGAGGAGGGATAGCTCAGTGGTTTGAGCATTGTCCTGCTAAACTCAGGGTTGTGAGTTCAATCCTTGAGGGGGCCATTTAAAGATCTAGGGCAAAAATCTATCTGGGGATTGGTCCTGCTTTGATTAAGTTCTCCAGGTTCCAGATGTACAGCTGCTGTTACTTGCATGCACTGATCTAAAAATTATTCAGCCTTTTGTATATACATATTACATGCACCCACATGGGGAACTACACGTTAACCCGGATATTTTGGGCCAGATTCTTAGCTGGTATAAACTGGCATAGCTCCATTGAAGCCAATTTACACCAGCTAAGCGTTTGGCTAACTGTTTACACTGTAAGAAACTGCCTGGTGTGCTTGTGTATCTCTGCCCTCTACTAGAGGGAATCAGATCTGCTCAACTGTGACAGGAGCTGCACAGCTACCGGCTAACCCAGACTCTTCTTCAGCTCATGTGGCAGGGACCTGTGCTTTTGGAGCATGAGGATTACATTTCTCTCTACTGTCAGTGAAATTCTGAGTGACCATAGCATGCAGTATAATAAAAACCAAAAAAATCCTAGGTGATGATGGGTTTGTTATAGAAAATGCAAGTTGTGTGTGCTGTTGCCTACTTCGGATCTTACTAAGATGACAAGAAAGTTAACTCTGATGTCACGATACCCATTTTTGTCTTGCTTCCACTGAAAGGATAGTTTTAACAAGTATTAACTTTGAATTACAGACTAATCCATCAGTCACTGATGTTTTTGTAATACTGAATTGAAATTAAATGTGAAAATTCTGTCTTATGATGATGTTGAAAAGGAACATATATTTTAACTGCACACATATAACTTTACTTAAGATCTGTTATAAAAAAGCAAGAAGATAGGAGTCAAAATTAATTGCTTTCATAATTTGAAAGCACTCAGCCTAGGTTCAGAAGTCTGATCACTTCTAAATTAAAGCGCATGCATAAAATTGAAGTGCTACCATAAATCCTTGCGCACCAGACTGAATAACTTAAATGGCTCATTTAAGAGTTACACAGGCCAGGCTCTCAGGTAACCTACAAGATTCAGCGAGCTGCTAACCTGAAAGTTGAACCATCAGTAAATTCCCAAACTTGTAACCTGTAAAATAAGCCCTCCTCCTTCAACTCCACACAATCCCAGAAAGATGGCTAATGAAGTCTTAGGTCCCAACCCTGAAATGAGCTCTGCATAGGCAGACCCCTGTAAGGAGCTCCGTTAGCTTCAGCAGGGCTCTGTGCAGGTGCAGAGCTCATTGCAGAAACCTTGGTTCAGAACCAGTTATTTGCCTTTTACTGCTGTGGGAATTTTCCTAAACGACCAGTTCTGAAGCTTGTCTCATTGTTGCATTAACTCTATTTTCTACATATGATACTGGACATCTGCTACAGTTCAAGAACCTTAAAATTCCTCCTGTCTTTCTGGAGATTTCTTGTCCTGTAAAGGGAATGCCAGTAAAGAACAGTGTGTTCCCCCAAGGAGAATGCTCCCTTCTTGCAGGACAGATAAAATTTTAATGCTACATGACTGTAAAAGGCAGCCTGTGCCTATATAAAGATCACAAATTGGGGCCCAAGTGTGTAAGATACTGAGTGTCTCATGGAAAGGGTTCAGCCTATACCATGACTACATCTTGAATTTTCCATCTCAACCTCACCTGAAGATAGAACTTCATTGTTTAAGAAAGTCATGAATAGATAGTTTAGGAAAATGCCCTCATATTAGACTAACACCAGTGAAGTAAATCATGTGCTTTTTTATCAGGAAAATCAACTAATCTTAAACTTGAACAAGAATAATAGGATGTGAATTTCACTTACCCTATAACAATGCAAGAGATGGCAGTTCCCAAAAAGGCATATGTTAAAATTGATCCTAAATTACGAAAAAAATGTCTCTGGGGAAACAAAGTATGAAAAATACAATGTCAAATTTAGCAGAGTTCATCTTAGAAACCTAAATTCAAGTTCAGACACCGAGTTTAGGAGTCCCATTCAAGCCATTCTGGCAGTTGCTATAATAGTTCTTCAGGATTGGAAAAACAAACAAACCATAGACTTCAAATACGCTTTTGAAAATATGATCTAAGACCCCCTCATGTTCTGTCAGTGTGTCTATATGTCACTGAGCTTCCCTTGTTGCATCTCAAGTATGAATTGCATATTCATGTATGAAACAGTTAGTTTCATAATGAAAGCTCAGGTTCTTAATGATCTATGTAAATATTACAACGAATCCCCTCCCTTACACAGATGTAGGTCCCAATTCTGCATCGTAGGAGGACTGCTGCACACATGTGGAGCCTCACTGACTTCAAAGGGGCCTTGCATGGGCAAAGCAATCCACCCACACATTGAAGTGCAAGATCAGAGCCTTACACAAGCGTAAGGAGCAGAATCAATCAGGCCCATGGGTTTGAAGTCTTAAATAGTTATTTTTCATTCTGTTCTCTGATATCAAATGGCCTAAATAATTACCATGCAAAAGAATTTCAAACTGATAATTACTTAGATTCTTCTCCCCACCAATGTAACAGTGGCACTACAAAGTAGCCATCAGACCAGCCCACCTTCTGTAATTTAAGAGAGAAATCACTTACCTTCTTTAAACTATATCCAGCATGAAATATAATGGGTGGCAGTAAAACATTGAAGAAGATTGAAGGATCAAATGTCATCTGCCAGAAAAGACAAAGATATCAAGTAAGGAAAAAGTAAAGCAGCCATTCAGTTTGTTATGGAAGGTTTTAAGTGAGAGTCAGGCCATTTTAAAATCAGGATTAATCACGGTGTCAGCCTTAATAAGTTACTCTCGAAAGTGTGGAAACTGGACAAATTACTCAGAGTTATTATCTGAATAAATACTAGTTTAGAGTTCCCTGCTGCATGTGCATATAGTACAATATTTAGATATTTTTGTAAAAAAATATTAAGCATAAGAAACAAGTAGTGCTCTGTCAATACAGAACACAGGCAAATTACATTTCATATGTTAAGAAGAGTAATGAACTAGATGGCCTAGTAGGTTTGGTGGTGGACTGGGGACTCAGGAGTCCTGTCTTTGACTTCTGGCTCAGCCACAGATTTCCTCCGTGATTTCTGGCAAGTCACCCTGTGCCTCAGTTTCCCACCTGTAAAATGGGATAATACCTTCCTACTCCATAGATGTTTTGTGAAGATAATGATTCTGAGTTGCTCTGATGATGGCCATACAAGTTGCTACATAGCTAGAAACTGCACACAAAACAAAATTAAAAGGAAAAATAAATCCTTCTTGTGTTTCCTTGTTCTAAATAAAGGAGATCTTCCATCTCATGGGAGGATATTCTCCATTTTTGCTTATGTTTATTTACTTTTTATTTTGCTTTACCAACTTTAATAATAACCCCCCCCCCCCATAAGAATGGCAATACTGGGTCAGATCAATGGTTCATCTATCCAGTAGCCTGTCTCCCAACAGTGACCAGTGCCAGATGCTTCAGAGGGAATGAACAGAACAGGGCACTTATCGAGTGATCCATCTCCTATTGTCCCATCTCAGATTCTGGCAGTCAGAAGCTTAGGAACACCCAGAGGATGGGGTTGCATCCCTGACCATCTTGGCTATAGCCATTGATGGACCTATCCTCCATGAACTTATCTAATTCTTTTTTGAATCCTGTTATAGCCTTCACAACATCCTCTGACAAAGAGTTCCCCAGGTTGACTGCATTGTGTGAAGAAGTACTTCCTTATGTTTGTTTTAAACGTACTGCCTATTAATTTCAATGGATGACCCCTGATTTCTGTGTTATATGAAGGGGTAAATAATACTTCTATATTCACTTCTCCACACCATTCATGATTTTATAGACCTCTATCACATTCCCCCCTTAATCATGTCTTTTCTAATAAAGGTATGTCTACACTATGAAATTAGGTCAATTTTATAGAAGTCGATTTTTAGAAATTGATTTTATACAGTCGATTGCGTATGTCCCCACTTAAGCGCATTAAGTCAGCGTGGCTAGCATCGACTTATGGAGCGGTGCACGTTGGGTAGCTATCCCACAATTCCCGCAGTCTCCGCTGCCCACTGGAATTCTGGGTTAAAGCTCCAAATGCCTGATGGGGCAAAAACATTGTTGCGGGTGGTTTTGGGTACATGTCGTCAGTCGCCCCTCCCTCCGTGAAAGCAACCATAGACAATCATTTTGCGCCTTTTCTCCTGGGTTACCCATCCAGACGCCATACCAGTGCAAGCATGGAGCCCGTTCAGCTCACCATCACCGCTGCTGTTGTGGGCAAGTCTACTGTGGGGGCTGCTGTGAGCCAAGTAGCCAATGCAATCAACATTCTCTAATCAAGGGTAGTGACTCTGGGAAATGTGCGGGTCTTTTTAGATTTTAGGTACATGATATTCCTGACCTTTGTCGCTGGTGAAGTATTGCAGCTGTACATTCCAGGCCGGTCGGTGCTGTAACACCCCATAACACTTCCGTGGTTGACACATGTAACAACTCCAGGGCTCTTGCTCTTTAGCCTTGGCCGAGGTACCTTGCCCTACCAGGACCTCCAAGCATTCGACACAGAAGCACCTGCAGCAGCTGGCATTGCTACACAGCAGCAGCTCCTTGCCTTCGCAGCAGATGGTGCAGTAGGACTGGTACCCATCCTCGTCATACATGTAGAAGAGCTCCAGGAATTGATCCCTGCAAGTCTGGCAAAGCCCCCCCTCAAACAGCGGGTGGAATGTGGCTGGGTTTTTTCTCCTGCACGATAAACAACTGTCTTCGAGGCTCCTGTTGTTGTTTGTGACTTTGGAAACCATTTGCTCTCTGCTCTGGTCCTCCTCCACCCATTCCTTGCTGTTGTTGCAGAAGTTAGGCTTTAGCCGCTTGGCCGGGGGTTCTGGGAACATCTTCCCTGCTTGGCTCTTAGCAACCTCCAGGGCATGGTGTATGGTTCATCGATAGGAGACCAGCTTATTAAACGTGGAGTAGTTGAAATGCTGCCTAAAAGCCATCAGACCCACCAGCTTGTCTGCTGAAACCTCAGAAAACTTCCCGTCCCAAAGCCATTGCACCCAGCGCATTCCAGAGATTGCCTGATGTTTGGACGTGACTCTGTAGGAGATGATGATTGCAGGCCACCAGCAGAAGCCCTTGATCTTCCCCCACACGAGCTCTCCAATTCCAAAATCTTTCCCATCCTGGTATTCCACCACTTCCCCTGCAATGCTGCTCTCCTGCTCCCCAGCGACGATCTCGGGGGATCTGTTCTGGTCCTCCTGGGTGCTGCTGGGCAGACGTGGTACTGCTGCTCTGGGAGGACTCCTTGGAATCCTCCTCAGTGAGGTCGATCAGGGGCGCTTGGAAAGACATGGCCATCCTCCTCTTAGAGCACTGAATGGGAGCCAGAGACTCCAGGTCATTCTCTTCTTTAAGTTTTGTCTCATGGAGATTCAGTCCTGCCTGGAATATCATGTGAGCTGGAGGCTTCTGCCTCAGGCTGCTTTCCCAGCCGGCAGTACCGCACGGTCGCAGCTACCCCAGCCTACCCCTTGCTCCCATGGCTTATGAAGCCTGGACAGTAGTAAGGAGCAGTTCAACTATAGGCTGAGCAAGTGCAGAATGGAGGTAGAATGTGCCTTTGGACGTTTAAAAGCTCACTGGCGCTGTTTGCTGACTACATCAGACCTCAGCGCAACCAACATTTCCATTGTTATTGCTGCTTGCTGTGTGCTCCATAATATCTGTGAGAGTAAGGGGGAGACGTTTATGGGCAGGGTGGGAGGTTGAGGCAAATCGCCTGGTGTCCGATGTTGAGCAGCCAGACACCAGGGTGATTAGAAGAGCACAGCTAGGTGCGCTGTGCATCAGAGAGGCTTTGAAAACCAGTTTCATGACTGGCAAGGCTTTGGTGTCACAGTTGTGTGTGTTTTTCTTTGATGCAAACCTGTCCCCTTTGTTGATTTTAATTCCCTGTAAGCCAACCACCCTCCCCCCTTTGAAATAAAGTAACTATTCTTTTGAAACCATTCATTCTTTCTTTATTAATTAAAAAAAAGAGAGATAACGGACAAGGTAACCTGGGTAGGGTGGGGGAGGAGGGAAGGACTCGACCACGTTGCTTATTGTAGCCACACTAAAAATCAAACTGTTTGAATGACAGCCTTCTGTTGCTTAAGTCATCCTCTGAAGTGGAGTGGCTGGGTACCCGGAGTCTCTCCTCGACCCCTCTCCCCGTGTTCTTGGTCGTCTGGGTGAGGAGGCTATGGAACATGGAGAGGAGGGTAGGTGGTTATACAGTGGATGAAGCGGGAGTCTGTGCTCTTGTTGGCTTTCCTGCAGCTCCAACAGACGCTTCATCATGTCCGTTTGCTCCCCCATTAGCCTCAGCATCGTGTCCTGCCTCCACTCTTCGCGCTCACTTAATTCTTTCCTAACCTCTGAATGCCTCCATGCATTAAGCTATGCCCTATCAGTGCGGGAGGACTGCATGAACTCGGAAAACATGTCATCGTAAGTGCATTTTTTTCACCTTCTAATCTGCGATAACCTCAAGGACGGAGATGATGGGGGAGCGTAGAAACATTCTACGCTCTACAATTCTGGGGGGACTGCATGGTCACCTGTGCTGCTGAGTGCTGCTGAGTTCACCATGCTGACCAAACAGGAAATGAAATTCAAAAGTTCCCACGGCTTTTCCTGTGTACCTGGCTAATGCATGGGAGTTCAAAGTGCTGTCCAGAGTGGTCACAATGGAGCACTCTGGGATAGCTCCCGGAGGCCAATACTGTCGATTTGTGTCTGCACTACCCCAAATTCAACCCAGCAAGGTCAATTTTAGCGCTATTCCCCTCGTCGGGAAGGAGTACAGAAGTCGATTTTAAGAGCCCTTTAGGTCGACGGAACGGGGTTGGTTGTGTGGATGCAGTCATTTTAAAAGCAACCTAACGTGGCTAAATTCGACATACATTATTTTGCATTTATTAATGCAGAATTTCATCTGCCATTTTGTTGCCCAGTCACCCAGTTTTGAGAGATCCCTTTGTAATTCTTGGCAGGCAGCTTTGGACTTAACTATCTTGAGTATTTATGTATCATCTGCAAACTTTGCCACCTCATTGTGCACCCCTTTTTCCAGATCATTTATGAATATGTAGAACATGTCCCAGTACAGATCTGGGGGGACACCACTATTTACCTCTGTCCACCATGAAAACTGGCCATTTATTCCTACCCTTTGTTTCCTATCTTTTAACCAGTTACTGATCCATGACAGAACCTTCCTTCTTACCCCATGACTTCCTATTTTGCTTATGAGCCTTTGGTGAGGGATTCTGTCAATGGCTTTCTGAAAGTCCAAGAACACAAGAACATCCCCTGCGTCACCCTTATCCACATATTTGTTGATGTCCTCAAAGAATTCTAATAGAGTGGTGAGGCAAGATTTCCCTTTACAAAAGCCATGTGGACTCTTCCCCCAACATATCATGCTTATCTATGTGTCTGATAATTCTGTTCTTTACTATAGTTTCAACCAATTTGCCAGGTATTGAAGTTAGGCTCACCGGCCTGTAACTGCCAGGATTGCCTCTGGAGACATTTTTTAAAATCGGCATCACATTAGCTATCCACCAGTTATCTCATAGAGCCAATGCTTAATTTGTAATGAAAGAGGTGCTGGGGCTCAA